TTCTTGCATTGGCTCCAGTATCATTCTCTGCATTTCCTAGCACAGCTGGAGTTGGTGACTACATACATTTCACCAAACTAAAACTAGGACTGTAGGTTCCTAGAATCTAGAATAATCAGCTTTTTGTCTTCAACTTATCCACAGAGAACAGCCATCTCCCTTCACCTGCCATTGTGTCTCCTCTTTCTTCGAGCGGTTACCTTGTCTGATGGCCTGGCAGGCAGAGTGAAGAGCCACGAGCGAAGAGGAGCAGGCGCTGTCGATGGCGAACGAGGGCCCCGTGAAGTTGAAGGTGTAGGAAATCCGATTGGCGGCGATGCTCATTGCTGTCCCCGTGCCATTGTAGTGGTTTATTGTGGTGGGACTGTTGCTTAAAATCATTTCATGATCTCTGTTCATGAGACCTAAGTGAAAAAGAAATCAGCAAGGTATACCAACAGGGGAAATCAAACATGATAGAAATTGCTGTAAGATAGAAACACAATAAACAAAAGGAGCAAAAAAAACTTTTGTGGAATAAAGAAAGAAACAAGGTTGAACAATAATAATAATAATAATAATAATAAATATTCTAAACAATATACAAACAATAAAAAATTCTAAAAGGAAAGAATGTTTTAACTTTTAAATTCTGAGTGCAGAGCTCTCAGTGTACAGGTGCAAAGGAACAAGTAGAGGTTAATTCCACACTGCCTGAAGATCGCTCCACCAATATAGTTTAAATGTAGTTTTGACTTCTGTATTCCTACTATTGCGTTCTGTTTGTTCCTGTTTCGAATTAATATTCTGAAGTAATGTTACCCACTCAGATTTCTTTGTCTGTGACTTCTAATTGGCCCATCCTCTAAAATTATTCTTCACAAGTTTTGTCCCCAGTTTATTTATTATCTGCAGTGCTTTCTTGAAATATCTTTTTAATAGCCTATGCAGTGTTGTGAGAGGTCTGACCCCTGTCCTTACAAATTGTATGACTCGTATTTTCAAAACTAACGATCTCCTCTAAATATATGTTTATATACAGGTCATTAATAACTGATTTGTTGTAAATATTTATACTTATAATAATATTGGAAAGTATTAAGTTACTAATACATGTTATGTGTGATTTTTTTGTTTAATTATTAATGAATGTTTAAATCTCTTTTTATATTTTCTAATGATGAGAATTTTTCACTACAGTGTGCTATTTTTTTGAGTATATTAACTCTGGGATGCTTCAGTTCCAAATAAGATGTTAGTATTACTGTCACGCTCACAACTAACCAGATTCCAACGCGGAAACGTCCTCACTCTCCTCGCACTCAACCCCTGAGCACTTCTAGCAAACAGCATCGTTCTGACCCATCAACCACTCACAGCACTTCACTAATCACTGCACCTCTCACCTCCCGTAATACTAAAACTCGCATTACCCTCTGCTCACTGCCCAGTATTGGTCTCTCCTTTAGGAGCTCTCGTCCAAGTTAATAATAATATTAATTGCTTACACTTATATAGCGCTTTTCTGGACACTCCACTCGAAGCGCTTTACAGCTAATTGGGACTGCCCTCCACCACCACTAATGTGCAGCATCCACCTGGATGATGCGACGGCAGCCATAGTGCGCCAGAACGGTCACCACACATCAGTTATCAATGGAGAGGAGAGCACAGTAATGAAGCCAATTCATAGATGGGAATTATTAGGAGGCCATGATTGGTAAGGGCTGTTGTAACAGAAAGAATAAGGTTCTGGATCCCGAGATGAAGTTAAACAGATAAGTTTATTGCAAGGAACAATAAAGCCTAAGTCTTGTTTCCCGCAAGAAACAACAAAACCGAAGTATTGTTCAAAGTGCTGGTACAAACTTTTGGTTTATATATCCTTTCCTTTCGGCTTCTGACGTCACTGTTATTATGGTAAAGGGGGGAGGTCACTTGCTTGGCCAGTTTACAGCTTTTTGGCCAAATGGTCAGAGATTAAGTCCCCAGGGGGTTCCCTAGCTCTCCTAGCTCGCATCTGGAATCCTTATCAGTTAACCCCCTAACT